GTGTTCCCTGCCCCTGTGCTACCCCATGATGGATGCTTTGCTCGTATCCATTGCTCTAGCTATTGAGTCTGTCTGTCTCATTGAAAGTTTCCCATATTCTTACTGCTTTCTTTATCAGACATGTGGTTCTTTTTTACTGATTGGTGTGTCCTCTGATGATGTGTCCAAAGTAAGCAAGCCAAAGCCTTGCTATTCTAACTTCTACTTCTGATTGTGTTTCTTAAAAGTTGTATGTTGACAGTCTGGGGAGTATTTGGTATCCTTCACTAACACCACAATTCAAATGTATCGACTCTTCTCAGGCTTAACCTTTGCATTATTCAGCTTTTGCAAGCATGTAAGGTGACTGAAAGACTATGGCTTGGGTCAGACGCACCTTAGTCATGAAAAAGTAAAATGTTTTTGAAAATGTAAAAAGAGGTCTTTTTAAGTTGTTTGGTGGTTTCTTGATTCCTGCTTCCATGGGCCTTGATTGCAGATGCAAGTAGAACGGAGCTGCTGACAACTTCAGTGTCTCCCTCATTTCTCATCTTATTACTTACTGGTCCATTTGGGAAGACCCCATTTCCTTTTGGCTCAGGTGTAGTCCATATTGAAGCCCTTGACCTTCGTCGGTAAGTGCTTCAGGTCTCCTTTGTTTTCAGCAGGAGGATGTGTCATCTGCATATTCAGGCTGTTTAATGACTTTCCCTCCACTTCTGACCCCCACATACTTTGTTGCATAGTACGAACTCTCTGATTATGTGCCCAGTGCACAGGATGAGTGGGTAAGGCAGAAGCATACAAGCTTTCTGCTCACCTTTCCCAGTGTTAAACTACACAGTTTGACCAGTGTCACCGTGGCGTGTTTGAGCAGTTTCCCCTTGATCCATGTACAGGTTCCACATGAGCACAATTAAGTGTCTTGAATTTCTATCCTTTATAAAGTATCCATAATTTGTTAGGATCTACTAAGTTGAATATCTTTACATAATTGGTGAAACTCAGTAGACAAATTTCCAGTGTTCTCTGTTTTCAGCTAAGATTCATCTGACACCAGCAGGGCTATTTCTTACTTGATGTCCTCTCCTGACTCCAGTGTGAATGTCTTCTTGTTCCTTGTGGCTTTGTGGATGGATTAGGTTTTTAATTAAGCTAGAACATGAGTTTTCTTGGGATGCCTGCATTGTCCTGTCCCAACGAGCAGAGATTGAGATTGTTAACAATTTTAGCTTGCTTGGTTCCATGACCAACACTCTTGGCACCAGCAGTCAGGAATTTTAAAGATGGATTGCACTGGGAAAATGTGCCGTCAGGGACCTCTCCAGAGTACTTAAGAGCAACTTTGTGAGTCTAGACAATAAGATGTGCCTGATCCACGCCATGGTCTTTGCAATTACTGGTTATGCATTAGAGAGCTGGACAGTAGCTGAGGATAGAAGAATTGATGCTTTTGAGTCGTGGTGCTAGAGAAGAGTAATAAACATACCTTGGACCGCTAAGAGAACAAATAGGTCTGTCCTGGAGAGGGTGAGACCAAGCTGCTCCTTAGAGACTAGAATTTTGAAGCTCCATCTCACATACTTTTGGCATGTTGCCAGGAGGAACCTGTCCTTGGAGAGAGATATCATGTTTGAAAGGATGGAGGGACAGAACAAGAGAGGAAGGCCCAGGATGAGATGGATTGACTCCGTAATCCGGGTAATGAGGGCAGGTGTGCCTGAGCCAGTGAGACTGGCTCAGGATAGGATAGAGTTCAGAGCTGTTGTACATGGAGTTGATATGAGTTGCAGGTGACAGCACATAACGACAAGTCAAGAGAATGGACTTCTCATATCCCCAAGAACCTTTTTATCCTGACAACTGTACAAACTCTTGAAATCAGGATTAATGTCCAGGCAGAGGCACTATTCCCTACTCCAAAATCAGCAAGCTCTCCGTGAGGACACAGTTGTGTTGTGTGCAGGCGATGCACTGATTCACCACCAGGGGGCGCTGCTCAGCTGGACAGAGGGGAAAAGCCTCCAAACTCAAACCTGCTGCTGACCAGTGTATGGATTTCAACTGATAGCTGGGACCACCAAGTTTCAAGGCATCCTTATGGGAGCAGACTGCCATACCTTTCCTACGAAGAGCGGCCAGTGGGTTGGCAGACTTGAACCACCTTTTTTGTCATTAGAAGCTAGTTTTGGTTAACTACTGTGCTAACCAGGGCTCCTTTATCATCAGCTCTTGGGTGGTAGGGCAGGGCAGCTGCCTAGAGGGTGCAGATCTGCTGTCTGTCTGAGACAACAGGGTCCTTCCACACCATGGTCCTCTGGTTCACCCACACCCTGTCTCCTCCTGATGAAGAACGGCTGCTCATTCCACATCACGGGGAACAAGACGATGCCCCATAGAGAACCCAACCCCAGAGAGGGTGAGAGGCGGCTCCAGTCACACAGCTGATAAGCAGCAGTGCCAACTCCAGGGTCCTGACACTGAGCAGCAGGGAGAGGTGGTGGCACAATGAGGAGGTGAAGAGGGAGTGTTGCTGGGGCCTGAAGTTTGGGTCTGAGTCCCCCTCTAAATTCACACAGCAAGGCACAGCTGACATTCCTATCTCCACCACTTCTCACCCCCATGCACCTTAATGTCTTCTCTGATTTGGAGGAGCTGGCTGGGGTTTGATAATTAGAGTGTAGGAGGTCCTAAGTACTTTACCAAGATATTTAGTTTACCAGGAGTGCAAACCACCTCTTCAGGGACAATTGTCAGCCACGCCAGAGCCTTCCTCACACCTTACCCAGCCCTGGGGACCCAGCCTGCGGGTCCGATCCACCTGACTGCAGCAGGACCTGGTTGCAGCACTCACTGGGACGCTGAAGCCACCCTGCTATTGTGTTGGCATCAGGCCAGGTGGGGTGCATCCTGGCTCATTTAATCCTCATAGCCAACCTATCAGGCACGTGGCCATTCTTTCCATCCTACAAGGGAGAAGACTCTGTCCTGTGCAAGGGGGACATGTTTTCCCACTCCACTGCCACCGACAGGCTCCCAGGGATAAGACTCCAGCTGTTGCTGGGGGCTCAGGTTTCTGGAGAGCAGAATATAAAGGACTTGAGAGCTGGATGTCCTTCACTGAAGGGTTCCCAGGCACTGACTTGGTGCCAGGCTCCTGTAGACAGAGAGGAAGGAAACAGCTGGTCTTTCAGGAACTCAGGTCCAGGGGACCTGACAGGTGTGCAGTCAAGGTTAAACTGCAGCCGTGAGCATGCGTGGGAGCCAGCAAGGGCAGCCGAGGGAGGCTGAGGGAATCTGCAAGGGACACTGGCTGGTGTTTCCAATAGCTCTGCAGAGATACTTTTGAGCAAGGCTGGTGTATTAGCCTTGGAGAAACAGCAGGATAAAGTAGGTGTCCATAGAGAGGGTGTGCTGGAAAGCACATGCTCTATGATGCTCAGGCCTGTCTTGGTGGAAAAAATGAGGCTCAACATTTACTGTCATCATGAGATCTATGTGTGTACAGGCACCCGGTATTCTCAGCTGGCTACGGGCTTGGCTGCAAATGAAAGGCCAGTGGTTTGAATCCACCACAGTCCGGGGGGGAGAAAGACATGGAGATGGGTTTCTGGCAAGGTCTGTGGGGACCTGACCGGGCAGCTCTCTCTGTTCTCTAGTCACTTTAAATGGACAGCCCTGTGTGGGGTCGCAGCAGGTGGCAGTGGTGGGGGACAGGACGGTGGGTTTCTGGTGGAGATGTGCTTGACTTCATTCCAGAATCTTTCAGATGGAAGGGATGGGGCACTGCCCAGGGGCCTGACTTCCACGCTTTGCTGTTTACAGCGCAAAACTTTCAGCTGGTGTGCACATACTTATTTGATTGTTGGGACAACTTTGGAAGCAAGGTTTGGCCATCACTTCCATCTTAGATAGGAGAGGGGACACAGAGTGGCTAAGTGACTCATTTAAGGCTACTTACTCGTGTTCTGAGCCTGGGAAGTTTGTTCCTAGAGGTGAACTTGTTGGTCTGTATTCATAATAACGACTGCAGCATACTCTACCTTATGTGTAGACTACCTTATGTGTGACTTCAACCCAACATCTTCCGCTATTATGCTCTGTATGCTTCCTAAGGGTGAGTCTGACAGTCTGGTTTGCAGTGGACGACTCTAGATGGCAAGGATGCAGGGCTCCAGTGAATTCAGAGCTCCTACTTGACCCTTGGTGACCTTGAGGAAAGGTCAGCTCCTAGTCGCCTAAGCTCTCCCGCCTAAGCTCCTGGAGACAGATGGTGCTAGGCTGCCAAACCACGAAAGGGCACGAGGTTCGCCAGGTAACTGACCCTGGCAGGAGAAAGGTGGACAGGAAGGTGCCGGATTGGAGAAGGCGCATGGAGAGGGCTCAGCTCTTATTTGGGTAAGGGTCACTGCGCTCCCAAGCCAAGCGGCCTGCAGGGAGCGGGCTGTCCCCGGGAGAGCGACCGACACTGATTTGAGCAGGGGGTGGGAGGGAACGTGAAGGAGGCAGGTTCTGGGAAGGGGCGGTGGGGGTAGGTGGTAGAGCACGCGGACAAAGGAGGCGGCCCGCAGCCCAGCTGTTTTGAAAAGTGCTTCCTGTTTCTTTAAAGGCGCTCTCGGCGGGGCGGCCGGGCTGGGGAGCCGGCGGGCCGGAGCTGCCTCTTCTCTGGCGGCACTGACTGATCTCACGGACTGGGCTTCGGTGTAAACTGAGGCTAAACAAACACAGATGGAGCGCAGCGGGCGTTCTGCAGAAATGCTGGCAGCGCGGTAGCGACTTCAGATGACACCGTGAGCGCGTCGGGAGCGGACAGCCCGGCGGCTTCACGGAGCCGGAGGCGCAGCTGCCCGGGGCGTGGGGAGAAAGGGAGTGAGGGAGAGAGGGAGGGAGGGCGGAGGGAGGAGGGGAGAGTCGGAGCCAGAGCGAGCCGGAGCCGAGACTGCGCGGCGCTGAGCTGCCGGCACAGCCTGCGCGGCGCGCGTCCGCCCGGCCCCACGCCCCTGCCCCGCGCTGCCCGCAGCATGAAGCACATCCCGGTCCTCGAGGACGGGCCCTGGAAGACCGTGTGCGTGAAGGAGCTGAACGGCCTCAAGAAGCTCAAGAGGAAAGGCAAAGAGCCGGCGCGGCGCACCATCGGCTATAAAACTTTCCGAGTGGACTTGCAAGTACCCGAGCCCTGCGTCGCCACCACCAACGGGCTGCGGGACAGGACCCAGCCGCGGCAGTCGGCTCCGGCCCCAGTGCCCGCCCCAGTGGCGCCAGCCGTGCTCCCTGGTGGGGGCGCGGACACTGCAGGGGAGTGCGGGGTGCTGGACGCGCGGAAGCGTGGCTTCACGCTGGGCGCGGTGGGGCCGGGACTCCCCACGCCCCCTCCGCCTCCCGCGCCCCAGAGCCAGGCGTCAAGGGCTCTGGAGGCGCAGCCCTGTCGGGAGCAAGGCCTGCGTCCCCGCATCTTCCTGTGCGCGACTCCCGCGCGCCCAGCGCCCCCTGAGCCCCCAGCGCCCTCTGCACGCCCCGCGCCCTCCGCTCGCCCCGGGGAAAGTTCCTACTCATCAATTTCACACGTAATTTACAATAACCACCCGGATTCCTCTGCGTCGCCTAGGAAACGGCCGGGCGAGGCGACCGCCGCCTCCTCGGAGATCAAAGCCCTGCAGCAGACCCGGCGGCTCCTGGCGAACGCCCGCGAGCGGACGCGCGTGCACACCATCAGCGCGGCCTTCGAGGCGCTCAGGAAGCAGGTACTCGCTCCCGCCGCGCACCCTCGCCGAGAAGGGGGCAGGCGGCGAACTGGGGGCACGAGGGCGCGGGGGTCAGGGCGCGGGTGGAGGTGGGTGGTTAAGACAAGCTCTTTCCTACCGCTGGGGTCCCAGAGCTAGGGCGGGCCCGGGGCCGTGGCTTTGACCCTAGCATTGGCATGGTTTTTGTTTGCAAAATGGACCTGAGGGTTTGAGATCGATAGCTGTGGGTTTGTCTGGCACTCCCAGAGTGGCCTGGCTGTGCGCTTGGTTTCAGCCATAGCTCACTCCTATGACAACGGGAATTTGTTTCCTGAATTCCCCTTGGCGCATTGGAGAGGCTATGTGGGAATGCCTCGCGTCGGGAAGGAAGGGTTGAGTTTTCCCTGCGGCCTCCAGATCTTCCCTGTCTAGTGATGGTGGACGGGGATGCTGAGGGAACACAACGTTCTCTAGTCACCTGGAGCCCGCCAACCCTCTCCAGATCCCTGCATCCAGCAGAGAAGTGCGCTCACAAGTCGCTTCTGGGCGCTGCACTTGAGCTCTGGCATTCTCAGGAACAGAAGTAGGAGCCTGCGGCCAGCCCTCCGGCGACCTCAGGGAATTGGCTGGTGGGAGTCTCCTCTCTTTGCTGCCCACCACTCTGGGAAGAGGGAGGACAGACTGCTGAGTAGCCTGGGGCAGCTCGAGAGCATCAGGGCTTCTCCGTTTGGAGCTGGTGACATGAAACAGTGTCCCTTCTTGGGACAAGGAGAAGAATACTTGCCTGAGAATTACTTATGGATGCCTACCTATCAGACAGGCTGAGAAAATGTTGCTGGATGTGAGGTCTGAGTGCTCTGAGGATGCAGCTGTGTGACTTAGGGGATACTGCTAAACCTCTCTGGGCTTTAGCCAACCACACCACTTTTCAGAAATAACTGTCTTCTTCCTCCTAGCGGCCGGAGTGGGGAGATAAAGACTGTGTGCATCCCTGGGAAATGAACTAAACCCCAGGGGGTGAAGAAGCCCTTTGATTTTTGAGGTGTCACTTGCCTTGATTTGGGTGCTTGGATGACAAGGTCAGGTTGGACAGGCCAGGCTGGAAGACCCGTTAACAGCCACACTGGCTTGGATATGGGTAGTTGGCCAAGTGGACCAGGCAGTCCACCCTGGGATAGTGACTTGTGTCTGAATGTCCCCAGAGAGGGTGACACCCTGTGAAAAGGCCTGCCACAAATGATGACAGAAGAGCAGAGAGGTCTGTTTGCTTGCTCACTTTCAATTAGGGGAACCCCTCCCTGACTTAGGAGGCCAAGTCTGTGGAGTCTCCCAGCTGAGGGGTGATGGGGCTGGTGGGCAGCAGGAAGGACATGCAGGATGGTAGAGCTGCTGGCTGATGGGACTATAGGATGGCGGGCAGGGCTGGCACCTGGGGCTCCTTATCCCCACCAGCTGCCTCTTTCCATTCCCCTGTGAGATGTTCATGGTCTGACCATTCTACTGCATCTCATTGGTCTGCTGGCTTTCCCTTCTTTGTAAAATAAGTTCTAGTTGATCCTAACAGCCTCTCTGCCATGCTCAGACTGAGAGTGACCATGGCACCTGGCTGTCACTCAACCATTGCATGGAATGGGAAATCGAAGTCTAGAGAAGGAAGATATGTCCAGAATGACCAATGGGCTAGGGAGATGTCAGCAGTTTCTGGCAGGCCTGTCTGGCCGAGTGCATCTGGATTTGCTTCTCTGAGTGGCACAGCTCTGGCTTAGTGACTTGCAGAGGTGTGTGTGTGGGTGTGGCCGGCACGCCAAGGGGAGGTGATAATTCTGGCCTCCTTTTGATTCCTTCTTTCTCATGAGGAAGTTCCTGTATCAGAGGATAAGGTCTGGTCTGTGTGTCTAAACAGAAGACAAGGCCACCTACTCACACGGTGAAGGGGATGTGTGTGTGTGTGTGTGTGTCTCACACACGCTGTTGTCAGAATGCTGTGGGCACTAGCCTGCCATCTGAGAGGGAAAGGCCCCTCCTTGACCATAGGGCCAGGGGAGCCAAGGCCACGCCCACAGCACCCCACCTCATCACACCAGCATCTGCACATCAGGAGAGCCCTGGGGCTCTGGAAGAAGCCAGTTAGTTCTCTGACTCTCAGCTTCCTCATGTACAAAAGGAAGCCAGCCTGCTTGAGGCCAGGATCTAGGCTTAGAACAATCAGCTTGAATAGGTCTTTTGGGAAAGGAGGACCATTGGCTGTGCCCAAATTGGGTCTTAGCTGATGTGACATCAGGTTGGGGCCTGGGACTGTGCCCTGGTCAGAAGATTTGCTCCCCTGCTGCAGTGACAGGGGCCCTGTATCGGAGTCCAGCAGCCGACTTTGTGGCCTCTGCTGCCCTGTCCATGTGGCCACCTGATCAGGCCCTGGCTCCAGCCTCTGCTGAGGTGGTTGTGTGCTGCTGCTGCTTTGCAGAAAGGGTAGGAGGGGTGGAAAGAGGGTACAGTTCTTACACGGTATCCTCAGGGCCGGGCAAGGCTCTCCACAGATGGGAAATAGGTAAACTTTAAGCATCTCAGTAATAAGCATAGAAACTACCGTCCATTAGATGCCTACTTTGTGCCAGGCACTGTGCTGAACATGCTATGCTTGATAGTTCATATAATGAAAGAGAACACTATTTGTCATCTCTCCTCCGTTTCACAGGTGGTAAAACCGAGGTTCAGAAAGCTCATGTAAACTGGTTAAGGTCTGGCAGCCTTGCATTTCTGGCCTTGCATTTCATCAGGTTGATGGTGCTGACCCTTCATAACCAGCACTGCTGTGTGCCACGGTCACTCTTAGAGCCTGGCTTTGAACCAGGGTCAGTGTCTCCTTCCAATGCCCAGGCTCATGTCCAATCTGCTCCTCAGCCCATGTCACAATGTGGAGCCGTCCATCATGGCACGAGGCAGCCAGACAGGCTTAGGAAGACAGTCTCCGGAGCCTCCTATCCACTTTGCAGTAGTATGTGTTGGGGAGAGACCCTCAGATCTGGGGTTGGAGGTGAGCAGCAGCAGGGGCTGGTGTAGAGAGGGTGTGGGCAAAGGGTGAAGCCATCAGAGGTTGCTCATCCTGTAGAGCAGCTGGGGAATTTGAACAACGTGTCTTTGGGATTGCGGCACAGTTTCTAACACTAGGCCACCAGAGCTCCCCTATAGTTAAAAAGACGACTACGTGGTTATTGTTAAGTGTCTTCAAGTTCACTACGACTCATGTTGTTGTTTGTTGTTAGGTCCTAGTGAGTCAAGGATGACTCTCAGTGACCCTGTGAACAACTGCTCTGAACCCTGTCCTCTCCTGTGCCGTCCTCACCATTTCTGACACACTCGAGCCCATTGCCACTGTCACTGTGTTAGTCCACCTGGTTGAGAGTCTTCCTCTCCTTTGCTGTCCCTCCACTTTTCCAGGCATTCCCTCTCCAAGGAATAACTGCTCTTACAACATGTCCAAAAATACGTGAGACAAACCTTTATCATCTTTGCTTCCGAGAAGCACTCTGGCTGCACCTTCTCCCAAACATACCTGTTTGTCTTTTTGGGCAGACCATGGGATGTTCAATACTCTTCTCCAACAGTACGACTCAGAGTGACCCTTGTGAACACAAGCTTGAGACCCTGCTGGATCCTGCGCCATCCTCACGGTCTTTGCTGAGCCCATTGCTGCGGTCACTGTGTCAGTCCATCTCGTTTTGTTGAGAGATGAATAGAGACATGTATTCAAACCCTAACCTCCACGCCCCCGCCAGCCTTCTGCTAGACACACAGGGTAGTCTGGCCCCAGCTCCCTGGAGGAAGGAAGGGGAGGGTTCTCCCAGTTCTTTGGGAGCGGCAGGTAATTTTCTCACTCTCTAGATGAGGAAACGGAGACTTAGAGTGGTGAAAAGCCTTGCCCCAAGTCTCACTGCCCATAGTACCTAGTATTCAGACAGCTTCCTCTGTTCCACCCTCCCTCTAGAACTGGGCCGTTGGACACCCACTTTGCATCCATCACCCCTGTGCGTCATTGGGCTGGGCTCTTGGGGGTAAGAATGTGTCTTGTGGGTCAGAGCACTTAGAGGATGTGGAGTTGTCCTTATGGGCGGGGGGGGGGGTAGTTAGGCTACTTAAAAGGGGCTTTTGGCCTCATTGTGGTGATGCTGGAGAAGAGTATTGAATATACCATGGGCTGCTAGGAGAAGAAATAGTTCGTCCTTGTTGTTGTTATGTGCTGTTGAGTCGTTTCCGACTCATAGCGACCCTATGCACAACAGCCCTAAACCCTGCTCTATCCTGCGCCAACCGCACCACCTCTGACACACCCATCCCGATTACCCCAGTCACCGAATCAATCCATCTCATAGAGGGTCTTCCCCTCCTGCGTTGTCCCTCAACCCTCCCAAGCATGATGTCCCTCTCCAAGGACCCGTCCCTCCTGGCAACATGTCCAAAGTATGTCAGACGAAGCCCCAGAATCCTTGCCTCCAAGGAGTAGCTTGGTTTAATCCTCTCCAAGATGAATCTGTTTGTTTTCCTGGCAGTCCATGGTACATTCAGTACCCTTCTCCAGCATCACAGCTCAAAAGCATCCACTCTCCTTTTGTCCTCCCTAGTCATTGTCCAACTCTCTGATGCATAACAAGCGATTGCAAATACCATGGCCTGTATCAGGCGCACCTTAGTCTCCAGAGAGACACTGTTGCTCCTCAGTACCTTAGAGAGGTCCCTAACAGCAGACTTTCCCATCGCGATACGCTTTTTGATTTCCTGACTGCTGGTGCCAAGAGTGTTGACTGTGGAGCCGAGCGAACTGAAGCTGTGAACACTCTCAATCTCTTTGTCATCCATCCTGATGCTGCCAATTGGTCCAGTGGTGAGAATCTTTGTCTTCTTGACATGGAGCCTTAGTCTATACTGAAGGCTGCAGTCCTTGACCCTTCGCAGCAAGTGCATGAGGTCCTCCTCAGTTTCAGCAAGCAGGGTTGTGTCATCTGCATAACGGAGATTGTTAATAGACCTTCCACCAATCCTGATGCCACAATTCTCCTCATAGAGCCCAGCCTCTCGGATAATCTGCTCTGCATACATGTTGAAAAGTTCGTCCTAGAGAGGTGAAATCATGCTGCTTCTTGGAGGGAAGGATTCTGAGGCTCTGTCTGATGTACTTTGGACACACTGTAAGGAGGAACCGACCAGTCATTGGAGAGGGATGTCGTGTTTGGGAGGGTGGAGGACAGCACAAGACAGGAAGACCTTCAAAAAGATGGATTGATTCACTGACTGGGGTAATGGGGGGTAGGTGTGTCAGAGACCATTTGGTTGGCTCAGGATAGAGCGAGGCCAGAGCTGTTGTACGTAGGGTCGCTTTGAGTCGCAGGTGACTTGACGATGCATAAAAAAAAAGCAACAAATAGTGCAGCTGCTGCTGGAGAACATGGTGACCATGTGTCTTCTTTGGGTGGTTTTGGGCCAGACAGGCTTCTGTCTTCAACTAGGTCTTACTTAGCAGGTTTTCTACAGGTGGGTTTTTTTTTCATTTGTGCATGAGATAATATGCTTTATTTGAGGGAAAATGCTAAATGAGCTAATACTCCCTCTAAACCATTGTCACCAGCTTTCTTAGACCTGGAGCTTGACAGAAGTAGTAGGACAGAGTGACAATTTGAAACAAATGCCTAGAACCTGGCATTTTGACCTTGGACTCATTTCTTGCTCTATGACCTCCAGTGTCCCTCGATCCCAGGTGCAGACTCATCCCAAGATCCCTGCACCAGGCAGGAAAGCCAGCTATTAGGTGCTGAGGGCTCAACAGCTGGGACTTTAAAGGACCCTCCCTGGCATCTCCTCTGCAGAACAGTGCTTGGCCTCTGGGAGGAGCTGGGTCTGCCCCCAGGCCTCCATCAGCTGAGACCCTCCCCTGACCCAGGGCTACCGGGAACTGAGGTCCCACAGACTTTGTTTGTTCAGGCTGATAAAGGGTACAGAGAGCAGGCGGAGAGGATTCTGTGCACTCTGGTTGGGAATATGCACTATGTGTTGTCCTGCCAGCTTTTCTTGGACGAGCGTGGAGCTGCGGGCAGGGCTTGGAGCTGGAGGTGGAGTGGGGGAAGGTAGGGCTGCCCATCTGTGGGTCACCTCTTAGAGTCTGGGACAGGGTTACCACCCCTCTGTGTATAGAGGCTAGACCTTCCTTCAAAGACACTCTGGATGAGCTTAAACCACAAACCTTTTGGTTAATAGTTCAGTGCTTAAACACTAGGACACAGTGCTAGTCCCACCTAGGGACTCCTTCTTTGGCTGCCTGCGAGTAAGCTTGCCTCTGGCCTGAGTGCTCATCTGTTCTCAGTCTCTTTCCCTTCCCCTTAGGTGACTGGCTCCAGACTTCATGCATATCCTCCTCTCTAGAGTCTTCTTTGGGGACCTTCTGCAGCACCAACTGTAACAAGTATGCTGACTTGTGTGTGATACACATGCCATCTCCCCTAACCCTTGCCACCCTTTGAGGGCAGTTCTTTTATCAAGATACCTAGCAGACAGAGGTGCTGAAAGATTATGCAGCTTGCCCAAAGTTAGAGCCAGAAAGAGCTGGAGCATGGACTTGAAGCCAAATGACAAAAGCTGTGCGCAGTCAAGGACTGTGCCACGTGACAGATCCTGTGGGGCTGCTAACCTCATTCCTGGAGAGAGGTGCTTCTAGAGTTGCTGGGTGAAGATGGAGGGATTCCATTCATTCGTTCATTCATTCATTCATTCCACCCTTGATGGGGCAGCCTGGTGCTCTGCTCTGTCTCCAGGGCTGTCCTCAAGGCTGACAGCAGATTCTGATCACTGAGTGAGACATGAGATGGACGCCAAGGAGAGAATGAGGTGCTGCCCAAGCCCTGCTGACAACAGGTTCCTGCCAGATTCAGAGGCAGCAGCTCAGGGAAGATCCTCAACAGTCACTTTCAACGGGAACATGCTGAGCACCCCCAAGCTGAGCCGACTGTTCCCTGCACGCTTCATCCAGTATCACAAAAGGGAGTTTCAGCCTTAATGCTGCTGGCATTTTGGATTGGATGGGGGTTACCTGTGCACTGTAGAATGCTTGTTTCCTTCCTGGTCAGCAGACACCACCAGACATTGCTAACTGTCCCATGAGGGACCAAACAGCCCAGTTGAGAGCCACTGCCAGTTCCTGCTCGTAGTGACTCTCGTTTAAGAGGAGACAGCTCATCTTTCTCGCTCAGAGCAGCTGGTGGATTCAAACTACAGACCTGCTGGTTAGCAGCCCAACATGGAATGCACTGCGCCACCAGAGCTCCATCTGAGGGCATAGGTCGTTAGGTGCCATCAAGTCTTTTACAGTTTGTTGTGACCCGATGAGCAAAGCAACAGAACCTTGCCCTAGAATACACCATTCTCCCCATCTCGGATATGCTCAAGCCTATTGTTAGTGACTTCATCTGTCCGTCTTCTTGAGGGGTTTCTTCTTTTACTCTGACTCTCCACCTTTCCAAGCATGGTGTCTTTTTCTAAGGACTGACTCCTTCTGACAACATGCCTAAAGTATGTGAGATGAAATTTCACCATCTTTCCCTCTAAAAAATACTTTCTCCAAGACAAACTTGCTTTTTCATTTGGCAGCTCATGATATATTCAATTCTTCTCCAACACCACAATTCAAAAGCATTGATTTTTCTTCAGTCATCCTTAGTCATTGTCCAGCTTTCAGATGCACTGGAAGCAAAGGAAAAGACCATGACTTGGAGTGGGCACACCTTAGTCTTTAAAGTGACATCTTTGCTCTTTAGCACTTAGAAGAGGTCCTTGACAGCAGATTTGCCTAATGCAATATGTCTTTTGATTTCTTGATTGCTGATACCAGGTATGTTGACTGTGGATCTATAGTGAAGGGGAGGGTAAGAAAGAAAGCAGACTAACTATATGTGGGTGTTCTTCCCACTGAGCACTGAGATTTGCAGCCTTGCTTGTCCCCAGAGCCATAAGTGCCTGGGTCAAGATGTTACTGCATTTCCCTTCAGCATTTTTAGAGCTCTGGTGGCCTGGTTGGTAGGGAGTTGTCCTGCTAAGCTGATGATTGTGCCTCTCTGGTGGTTCAAGTCCACCAGCATCCCCAAGGAAGAAAAATGAGCAGTCTCCTCTCGTGTGACCTATAATCTCCAACAACCTTCTGGAGGGTCAGCTATGAGTCAGTTCTGACTCAATGGCGATTAGTTTGAGATCTTTACTATGAGTTCTCTGAGGCAGGGATCAAGTTATTAATTATTGGACTCTCAGCAAGCTGAAAGAACAGGCATCAGTGAAGGAGTGACAGAACGTCAGAGCTTAGAAATGCCCACATCCTCAGAGCGAGTCCTCCTCGGGGAAGGTGGAGAGGGCTGCCCTGGCAAGAGTCCCTGCACTGACTTGTGGGCAGGTGCTGATTCTCACTTTCCTCTCTTGAGAAGTGGGAATAGGGTGCCTGTGTGAATTTGTGGAGGGATGAGTGGAGATGATGTATGTGGAATCAGTAGGCAAGTCAGAGGACACAGGTAACTCAAGTCTGTCTGCTCACGTGGCCAGGCCCATTGGGGAGACCTCGTCCCTTCTGACGTCTTCTCCCCCACCCCCAGGTTCCATGCTACTCATACGGACAGAAGCTGTCCAAGCTGGCCATCCTGAGGATCGCCTGTAACTACATCCTGTCCCTGGCACGGCTGGCCGACCTGGACTACAGCGCGGACCGCAGTAACCTCAGCTTCTCAGAGTGTGTGCAGCGCTGCACCCGGACCCTGCAGGCTGAGGGCCGCGCCAAGAAACGCAAGGTGGGTGCCGGCTGACAGCAGCAGTTGCAGAACAGGGCAGGAACTTGGGGGTCCCCTGCACCCCAGAAGGACTAGAGAGGACGGTTTCTTAGAGGCTTGCCTGGCCCCCTCAGATAACATGGCCTCCTCCTAGGACTGGACTCTTGGATGGCAGGGGCCAGTCACCCGAAGCCTCTGGGCCTCATGTGATGAAAATTTTACTAAGGTCCTTGGTGACACAGTAGTTAAGCATTCAGTTGGACCCCAGCAGCCACTCCATGGGAGGGGCTGTGGCCGTGAGCATCTGTAAAGATTATGGCCTTGACAGAGTGGGGCAGCTCTGGCTGCCCTATGGGGTTGCTGCAAGTGAGAGTGGACTCAGAGATCATGTATTTTTTCCTCTTTTTTGTCATCTTTTCTGGCCTTACCTGCTCTGGTGCTGAATCTCCCACATGGCCCTTATAGATGCCACATTGAGGTGCGACTGCCCTAGACAGGCAGTGGCCTGCAGGAACCCTTTGATTTATGCTGGGAGAGTGACTGGCCTGTGGGCACCTTAGTGCATGAAAGCAGAGGGATGGTAACATGTTCACTCATTCTTTCTGGAGAGATCCCCCAAGCCCCAACCAGCAGTTGTACCTCTTACTGGACAGAAATACAAATATCTGGGCCCAGGGAGGGCCAGGTGGGAGAGCTCTCCTCCCAGCAAATGACCTGTCCTGCCTGAGGGCGTGTGGGAGGACACCTTGGGGTAAGTGGTGTTTGAGGGGGGCCGGCAGGGCAGTATTGATGTCAGCAGCCACAAGGCAGGGAGAGCAGCCTGCACAAAGCTCATGTGCTTGGAGACCGGGCAGGAAAGAAGGTGTAGGTGCTGCTGGGGTCCCCTTGGCCTGGGCCCCAGCACTCCTGGTCAGGGGTACATGTGGGCAGTGCCAGGAAGACTAATCCCATACTCTGACCCCTGCTCACAAGAGATTAGAAGGATAGAGCCAAGGATCAGACCCAGTTCACATCCCAGGTAGGGTGCCGGTCGAGTGAGGTGCCCAGGCAACAGAGGGCTGTGCTTGGAGGAGAGGGGGCTGTGTGACCTGAACACCCACATCCACTCTTGCGCTTCCTCCTCTCTGCCTGGCCTGGCACTCTTCCCCATCCCCAACCTTCATCTGTGACCTTCCCCTTCAGGTCCCCTTTGCAAGCAGGCATCACTCTGGGCTCTCCCGGTTTCTGGGCTCTCCTGACCGCAGGCTGGGGTGATCCTCCATGGGTTCCCAGACCTGCTCTGTCACTGCTGGTGCTGCTGCGCTGGGAAGAGAGATGAAATCCTGGAGCTGTGAGAGAGGACGTGCCACCGGCTGCTCACTGGGAGCCTTTCCTCTGCAAAGTGACGGGGCAAATTAAGGATGTGATTGATGGCTCTGTGCAGCATGCAGTGACAAAGGCGATCTGTAAACTCTCGGTGAACTTCCCTGGCATTCGGGCTGCTCAGGAGCCGTGGATGAGCTGGGAGGGCAGGGCCGTTCCTCCACATCACCCCTGCACTATTCACCGAGATCTCCCCTGGCCCGCCAGGAAAGAGTGTCCTGGACTGAGGAGAGCGCTGGAGTGGGGTGGGAATGCCAGTAAATACCAGCTTTTGGCTTCTCTTGGACTTACATCAAATCGGCACTGGCTGACCTTCCCCCCATTGCACAGTCACAGGAGTTGGCTGGCTGTAGTTACACATAGAGAAGAGCTCTGGGCTTGAGGCTTGACGCACCACTCATGAGCTGTGTAAGAGGGGGCCAGTTCCTTACCCTCTTCATGCCTCAGTTTCCTCCTCTTTAAAATGGGGTGGTTAAACACCCATCTTCAAGGCCCCCTTGAAGAGTAACCACCCTCAGGGTGATGCTTGGCCTTGAAGTTCGTCCTGGGACACTTCCTTGACTGGTGACGTTGCTGTGGTGGAGACTATGAGGACAGCGTGGGACAGACAGGGACTCTATCTGTGGTTCTTAGGGTTCCCATGAGTTAACAGTGTCTGACAACAGCAAAATGCTGGGAGTTCATCCCATGGTGCTTCCTTCTTCTTGTTGTTGATTACCTTCCAGTCGAGCACGACTCATAGTGACCGCATGAACAAAAGGCTTGAAGCCCCTCTATTATAACCATGAACATTTATCAAAGTTTATAGAGTTTCTGGAGGCATGTTATATAGGAAGTGGATGCGACTTCTGCTTCCAAACCTATAATAGTATGTTATTGTTTTTATATGCCACTGAGTCGCCTGCGATATATAGTGACCCCATGTATAGCAGCTCTGAACCTTTCCCTGTCCTGAGCCTGTCTCGCTAACTCTGACACCCAACCCCCATCGCCCCAGTTATTGTATCAATCCATCTCATCAGGGGTCTCCCTCTCCTGCACTGTCCGTCCACTCTTCTGAGCATCATGTCCTTCTCCAAGAACTAAGCTCTCCTGCCTGGCCATGTACTCAAAGTAAGTGAGATGGAGCTTCAGAATCCTAACCTCCAAGGAGAAATTTGGTTTCACCCTCTCCAAGACAGACTTACTTGTTTTCTTGGCAGTCCCTGGTATGTTCAAGACTCTTCTCCAGGCTTACCTGGTGAAATTGCCTTTGAGAGGCAGGTTTTAGATGGATGTGCTTTCCTCTCATCACTGCCCCTCATGCCTCCTAACTGCCTCCCCATCCCCTCAGCCCAGAGTTCCCTGGGACTGGGAGCTGCAATACAGGCTTCAGGTACTTCCTTTTCTCCTTAGAAGCCCTGGCCTGAGCTGGGACCCTGGGAAGAAGGATCTGGTTGGTCTTTGCACGAATGACCTTCCTGGTCTCACAGATCAGACTTTATCCATCATGACATATTTCCCATAAGAAAAACTCGAGACAAAGCAGCTGACCCTGCTCTGCCCAGGGGCACTGCTGACAGTAATCAGAGCTTTTTTCCAGAAAACAGCCCTATCCCCTTTTCAGTATAGTCTGTGTGGACAGTCAAGATTTGATCTGGCTCTTTTGCAAGCCTGGCCTTTGGTGTGTTCTTGGGTACTCAGCTTCTGTGTATCTGGTGGCTCTGGGCCTAGCACGCTCTGGGAGGTGGGGATGGGGTCTGTTCTGGTCAGATCCTTCTAGGCTTGCTTGCTTGCTTCCGGAGAACTGCAGTTTTACTGCCTGTCATCTCTCCTTCTGTCTGTCTTCTTCTCTGTCCTTTGCTTCTTCTTGTTGTTATGTATCATCAAATTGGGATCAACCCATAGCTGACCCTCTGGTGGGTTTTCAGAGGCAGTTAATCTCATGGGAGGAGATTGTTCATCTTTCTCCTGAGGAGCAGTTGGTGGACTTGAACTTTGTGCCTTTGGGACTGCAGTACGGCTTCTTGCCAACAGGCCACCAGAGCTCCTTACTGATGGAGGGGTTTTTTTTACTCCCTTTAAAAAAACTCACTCATTGCCATTGAGTCAGAACTGACTAATAACTGAGCCTCTGTTGGATTTCCAGCCTGTAAATCACACATGAGGAGATTGCCCATCTTTCTCCTGAGGAGCTTCTGGTGGGTTCACACTGCTAGAGAGGTGGTGCCTTGGCCTAGGCTACAAGAATGAGATTCTGAACGAACTTGGTCCACCTCCCTGGCTCAGCTTTTGCTCATCTCGGCCATACTTGCTAGGGTGAGGTTGGGGGACCCTCTATCACCTCCAACAGCAAGTCTTCCACTCTCGGCCCCCCAGGGCATGACTTGAGGGTTCAGATCCTCTTGGAAGGCCTGGTAATGCATTGTGGGATGGAGGCCGCCCAGCAGAGACGTGGGAGGAGGGGCAGGGCCCTGGAGAGCTGTCCTGACTCCGCTGGAGCAGGAAATAATGCACGTTAAGCACCTGGCTCTGTGCCACGTTTCCGCAGCTCCTGTTTTTAAAGCAACAACTCCTGGGAGCTTCTGAGGAGGAGGGGGAAGGAAGGAGGCCACAGTGGCAAAACTGCTCTTCAGCACCTGGGCTGGCCTGGGCAGACCTGCAGAGCAGTGAACGACGCTGTTCTCCCCAGTCAAGGGCACTGTCCCCTTGCCCGAGATACTGTCTTCCAGCCCAGAACAATGTCCCCTAGTCCAGGATCAGCCCAGGACCCTGTCCGCCAGCCCAGGGCAGCCCTCGTAGCAGTGTGAAGCCACTGAGTCACGATAGTGATGACGATACAGACACCTTGTTTTTAGCACTTTGCTCCGTCATGCTGCATGGATGCTGTGTGTTTACAAATTTGTCATGCCTTACCTTGAACTAGCCTGCCATCTTCCCTCTTCCACCATAGTGTGCTCACTTCATGTCTCGTTTTGGTAATTCTTAATACATTTCAAATGTGTTTCTAATGTTGTCGCACATGTAATAGGCTACAGAACAGTGTAAGCATAACTTTATATGTGCTTTCTTGGAGAGGGTGAAACCAAGTTTCTCCTTGGAGGCTAGGAATTTTGAAGCTCCATCCCACATACTTTGGGCATGTGGCCAGGAGGGACATTCTTGAAGAAGGACAGCATGCTTGAAAGAGTGGAGGGACGGTGCATGAGAGGAAGGCCCTGGATGAGATGGATTGATACAGTAACTGGGGCAGTGGGGGTCGGTGTTTTGGAGTCAATGAGACTGGCTCAGGACAGGGCAGGCTTCAGAGCTGTTGTACATAGGGTCGCTATGAGTCACAGGTGACTCAGTGGAGCAAACAACAACAGCAACAACAGGAAACCAGAGCACAGAGCTCTGAAAAGACCTCTGGTAGCCTAGTGGGTAGGGAGTTACATTGCTAACTCCAAAGCAGCATTTGGTTCAAATCTACCAGCAACATCAACAGAGAAAGATAGACAATCTCCTCTGTAGTGTCTGAAAACTTGCTGGAGAGTCACTGCTATGATGAGTTGACTCCAGTTCAACGGCAAAGAGAGACAGAGAAAAGAACTCAAGATTTCCTGTTAACTTGTTTGTAACTGAATTAGCAATATTCTGGGGTGTGTTTGTCATAATAACAATGATTAGCAGTATTAATAGTTAACTTTGTTGATGTACTTTAAACCTAGGTGGTGAAATGACTAAAAAGCAGGGTCGCCCTACTTGCAGGCCCCAGTTATACTGGTAATGCACTGAGTTAAGGACTGTATGGGAGAAGGTGAGGCTCCAGTGGCCAGCAACAGTGACTGTGTCTGCCCACAGGAGGGTCATGTCTTCCAGGCTAGGAGGTTGTCCTTGCCTGAGGCACATCCTGGGCCAGGCTTGCGTTTCCCTCTTTCCCTGCTGTCTTTGTAGTGATGCTGTTGGAGATGATCTGGCTGCCCATCTAGGTGTGCATCTGCCACCTTGGTGCCGGGGACAAGTCAGGTTAGCATGTCTGGCTCGATGGGGGATGGGATCAATGGGTACAGGGATTCTGAGGGACCTCTTTCTGTTGGTAAGGCTATTCTGGTACCTGCCCTCAGAGTGTGATAGGAGCAAAGTCCTGGACCTCCCTCCTCCCGTGTGCCGAGGGCACTGCCCTGACCCTGGTGTCCACTCCTCCCTCTGACTTCTCACCATGGCCAGTACCTGAGCCTTTACTTCCAGAAAGCAAGTATTTCCTGGGAGTCTAAGGCCCCTCTCAGTGTGACCTTCCGAGCTCTGGTCTTGCCTCACTTCAGCCTCTCTTGACTGAACCCAGACCCTTGAGGAGCCCTGGTGGTGGTGTGCTGAGCTCTTGGCGGCTGATGTACTGAAGGTTGTGGATTTGTCCCCATCAGCCACTGTGTTTGAGAACAATGTGGCTCGCTGCCTCAGTGGTGATTTACAGCCTTGGGAACCATTCGGTGCAGTTCTGTTCTGCCCGTAGGGCCATGGTGAGTCCAGATCAACTCAGTGTTGGGCTTGGATGAGTTGTCAGTTGCGCACACTTCGTCTGTGAGTCATTCCACTGTCACAGGCTTTTCACAAAGATTTGAAAGTCAAGAGGTCTGTTCTGATGGGGAAGGTCGTTTGCAGTGACCTTAGAGGCCCAGTGAGGATAGCCCCAAGGTTTTTGAGTGTTTGGGCCGCTGAGGCACCTCCTCATTCAGCCCTCACAGAACCTCAGCACTTGCTTGTCTTATGGCCAGAGCCTGAGTGACCTGCCTGAGGTCAGCTTGCCGGAGGATGAGGTACACGTACTTCCCTGTCATGCTCCCCAACTCCTGGGCCGGGGAACTGAGCTAAAGGCCATAAGCTTCCGAAACTGGAAGGGGCGTGGGTGGTGGTGGGAAACCACCATCACAACCCCCTCCGCTCCCAGAAATGGAGGCCATTTATTTTCCCTGGCATTCCAGTTACACTGTCATTGGTCTCCAGCTGTCTGTCC